ACCACCAAATTCAAGTTTTTGGCCAGTTTTTAACTTGCACAATTAGGTTTCCATTTGTTTTTCGTCTATCTCGAAACTATTCGTCTGATTGGAGTTTCTTTGCACCAAATATTTTTTAATGTGTTTTACTTATACAAATTAAGATTAGCAGTGCTGAAATTAATATTTTTTAAATTTGGCACGTAAGGGGGGTCGTTTTGATTTGCCAATTGAGGTTCTTTTTGTTTTCGTTCTTCTCGGAAACTATTCGTCTGATTGGAGTTTCTTTGCACCAATCAATTTCTTTTAATGTGTTTTACTTGTATACAAAATTAGAGTTAGCAGTGCTGAAATTATATTTTCGAAATTGCACGTAAGGGGTCGTTTTGTACTTTGCCCAATTGAGTTTTTTGTTTTTCGTCATTCTCGGAAACTATTTCTCTGATTGGAGTTACTTTGCCCAATCAATTTCTTTTAATGTGTTTTACTTGTATACAAAAATAAGAGTTACAGTGCTGAAATTAATATTTTTCGAAATTGGCACGTAGGGGGGGTCGTTTTGTATTTGCCAATTGAGGTTCCTTTGTTTTCGTCTTATCTCGGAAACATTCGTCTGATTGGAGTTCTTTGCACCAATCAATTTCTTTAATTGTGTTTACTGTATAAATTAAGATTAGCAGGCTGAAATTAATATTTTTCGAAATTTGCACGTAAGGGGGGTCGTTTTGACTTTGCCCAATTGAGGTTCCTTTTTTTTTCGCTATCTCGAAACTATTCGTCTGATTGGAGTTTCTTTGCACCAATCAATTTCTTTTAATGTGTTTTACTTGTTACAAATAAGATTAGCAGTGCTGAAATTAATATTTTTCGAAATTTGGCACGTAAGGGGGGGTCGTTTGTACTTTGCCAATTGGGTTCCTTTTTTTTCGTCTATCTCGGAAACTATTCGTCTGATTGGAGTTCTTTGCACCAATCAATTTCTTTTAATGTGTTTACTTGTATACAATTAAGATTAGCAGTGCTGAAATTATATTTTTTCGAAATTTGGCACGTAAGGGGTCGTTTTGTATTTGCAATTGAGGTTCCTTTGTTTTCGTCTATCTCGGAAACTATTCGTCTGATTGGAGTTTCTTTGACCAATCAATTTCTTTTAATGTGTTTTACTTGTAAAAAATTAAGATGGCATGCTGAAATATAAATTTTTCGAAATTTGGCACGTAAGGGGGGTGTTTTGTACTTTGCAATGAGTTCCTTTTTGTTTTTCGTCTACTCGGAAACTATTCGTCTGATTGGAGTTTCTTTGCACATCAATTTCTTTTAATGTGTTTTACTTGTAACAAAATTAGAGTTAGCAGTGCTGAAATTAATATTTTTCGAAATTTGGCACGTAAGGGGGTTGTTACTTTGCCATTGAGTTCTTTTTGTTTTTCGTCTCTCGGAAACTATTCGTCTGATTGGAGTTTCTTTGCACCAATCAATTTCTTTTAATGTGTTTTACTTGTATACAAATTAGATCAGTGCTGCGAAAATATATATTTTTCGAAATTTGGCACGTAAGGGGTCGTTTG